CGTGGTGGCCCTGGGGCGGGTCTAGGTTATGCCCCGAATTCCTGCTTTCAGCCCTCACTCTTGAGGACCAGCTCTGAGCCAGGGCGCTGCTGGACATTGCAGAGAGAGCCTCAGAGAAACCCTCGGGCCTGGCCACCCTCCCCCCCCCCCCCCCCCAACCCACAAAACCGGAAACCCCCACCCGTCACAAAGCCAGGGGGGGGCGTGGCCTTGGGGAGGACCTACGTAGGTCCCCAACTAGGGGAGCCTGGAGGTGGGCGCTGGCCTTGCTGGGTGAGGTTTTTTCGGGCTGGGGGGGGCTGTGCCGCCGTGCCCCGATAAGGCGCCAGATGTTCAGTTCGGCGGGGCGGGGTAGCGGACAGGGACAGGCCCGGGGGCACCATAAGCTTTCCAGTGGACGGGCTTCGGAAAGATCAGGTCAGATTAGGACTAAGCTCTCAGATCTGCTTTTCAAAAAAGTCACTCTGCCTGCCGGAGGGAAAATGTGTTCGGTGGGTTTGACAGCTGATCTTTTATCTGCCAAACTGATTGCCTGGTGACCGTGGCAGCGGGTGGAGGATGACATCATCTGTGACAGCGAGGTTCTCAGGAGCGGCGGCATCGGCAGGCACAGCCTCGACACGAGGCGGCACGGCCGCAGGCCCCGGCGTGCGGTGGCGCTGCAGGTCTGGCCCCCTCGGCTGTGGCTGGTGCTGACAAGGCTGTTGTTTCTGTCACAAGAAGCTTTTTCTTCTTTTGAGCCACTTCATGCCTGACTGCCATCTGCTGGGAGCACGTGTACACACACTGTCCCCCTAACCCAACAGCCAAGAGAGAAGTGCTCACCCCCCGAGAGCCGTGAGAGATAGCTACCTGCAGGGAAAGTGCTGCAGTAACAGATGGAATGAAAGGAAGAGCACACTCCTTGATCAGCACTAATCCCGTTCCTTAGCAACTCCTGGAATCGGCGGTCTAGACCAAGTGCAATCACTTTGAAGACGCACAGTGACCCCAAAACAAGCAAAAGGCCTGGCCGTGAACTCTCTTCCCTGGAAAGTCTCGGAATCTGGGGACGGCTCTCGCTAAGAGTCGGCACACTGACCGGGTGACTGCTGCAGTGGCCAAGCAGAAGGAGCACCTTGCTTCCTGTCTGAAGGAATCTTGCAGCAAAGGCGGTCACTGCTAATGCTCCACATTCATCTGAGGTGTGGCTTCTTTTAAGACCACAGGGAAGATGTGTGTGTTTCTGTGGAGAAGGACATGGAGGGGGTTGGAGAGGACCGTGCCCCAGGCCCTGTGTCCTGCCCATGGTGACCAGCCTCT